AATGTCTTCTGTGATCTTCACTGTGGGAATGTGGTGGAGCTCTTGGAGGTAAAACACAAAAGTATGGGGGTCCCCTGATGACTAGGTCTTCCTGGAGTTTTTAGCTCTCAGCCTTGTCCATACTGAGCCTCCAGCAATTCATCAATTACAGTTCCGGTTTTCCTACCCTGGCACAGGTTTCCAGCACAGGTTCCCATGGAGTTTCTGCTCCTATATGTTATGATTCTCCATATCTGCTTGTCTGTCTCTCCAATTTTGGCAGTAGTGGTTTGCCCTGTGACCTCACTTCTCTGAGGAGCTGTTGATCTTTAAATTTGTTTAGCTTTTTACTTGTTGTTAGGATGGAGTAGCACCTTCTAAGGTCTTACATGCTGGACTGAAAGTCAAAAGTCTTCCATTTCTGGTCTCAGTTTATATGCTATCGTCTCCAAGAATGTTCTCTGATTCATCAAGTCTGGGTTGCAAACTCCTTCTCTGTGTTCTCACAACCTCCAGTACTTCCATAATAGACCCTAATCACAACAGTTATATGTTAATTTGTCTAGACGTCTTATTAGACTAGAAGCTGCAAGTCTGAGAGAACTGTGTCTTGTTTAATGTCTCCCTAGTATATATTACAGTGACTCAGAATTTAATAAATATCTATTTCTTCAGTCATTAAATATTTACAGAGCACTTACTTTATGCCAAACAGGTTGAGGAGATGGGGACAAGCAGTCAGAGAAGGTAGGAAGTAAACCAAAGAATGTGGTGGCCCAGGAGCTAAGTATTTTAAGGAAAATGGCATAATCTACTGTGTTGAAAGGCCGAGAAAGAGAGGACTGATAATTGACCATTGGGTTTAGTAATATGGAGATCACTGGTGACCTGAAAAAGACCAGTTTGGGTGGAATACTGGTGGGGTGGGGAGTAAATTGCAGAGCAAATAGGAGGAGAGGACATGGAGAATGTGCACACAGATAATCTTTTGAGGAGTGTGAAAGTAGCTGGAAGCGTGAGTGAGGTCATGAGCATATTATAAGATGAGAAAAATAACTGTATATTAGCATGCTGATGGGAATGATCCAGTGGGAAGGGTAAATTGATGGTTTAGGAGAGAAAGGGGAGGACCATGGAGCTATTGAATAGGCCAAATATGGGAGCCAAGTTAAGTTGTGAAAAGTTTAGCGCCTTTGTAAGCTCTAGATAACTATAAGATGATAATAAAAGAGCTTTTACAAAGCAATACAAGATTAACTGCCAACTGAATGGTGGAGACATTTTAAAAACATTTTAGGCTAGATTAGCCAGGAAAGGGTGTTTTGTTGTTGTTTTAAGAGCAAATGGGATTTTCTTTTTCTTTCTTTTTTTTTGTTTTTTTGAGTTGGGAGTCTCACTCTCTTGCCCAGACTGGAGTGCAGTGGCCACTCCCAGCCACCGCAGCCTCGACCTGCTGGGCTCCGGCGATCCTTCAGCCTCAGCCTTCCAAGTAGCTGGAACTACAGGCGCGCGCTACCATGCCCGGCTAATTTTTCATTTATTGTAGAGATGAGGTCCTCGCCAAGTTGCCCAGGCAGGTCTCGAACCCACGGGCTGAGGCAATCCACTCACCTCAGCCTCCCAAGGCACGGGATTACAGGCTGAGCCACCAAGCCCGGCTAGAGCTGATTTTAATAGAGTGTTTTGTTTTGTTTTTTTGAGTCAGGGTCTCGCTCTGTTGCCCAGGCTGGAATGCAGTGGCATGATCATGGCTCACCACAGCCTTGACCACTTGGGGGTCCTGTCTCACCATCCCAAGTAGCTAGGACTATCGGTGTGCACCACGACACCCAGCTAATTTTTTAATTTAACTTTATTTTTTAGAGACAAGGTCTCTCTATGTTGCCCAGACTGTTCTCAAACTCTTGGGCTCAAGTGATTCTCCCACCTCAGGCTCCCAAAGTGTTGAGATTTTAGGTGTGAGCCACGATACCTGGTCTGAACTATGTGTTTAAGCACAAGTGAAAGGCATTCCATTTTAGGCAGTTTAAAAGACCAGTAAATGTATGTGTACAATTACATTTTGCAAGCCTTCAACCAAGGGCACGATGCCAAAAGATGGCCTGTGCCAGTGAGGGCAAAAACGTCAGTGACCTGAGCTAGAACTGATCACACAAGGCCACCCCAAATGATGAAAAAAGGGGAGGCTTCAGCCAGAGGCACTAATAAGAGCAAGAACAAGCTTTGCCAGTAGGAGCAAACTGTCCCAGATTCCTCCTCCCAGAATATAAACTCTGGTCTTGTGGGGAATTTGTGAGACCTAAACTCTGGCTCTCACCCAAATTTGTCAAGGAAAGGAGCAACAGTGCACCATGATAAAGCAACAGTGCACCATGATAAAGCACCCTCCTTAAGCTTCAGTATCCTCCATGTGTATCTCGGCTTTGCAAAGAACTTGCACTATTCCTATGGCAAAGAGAAGGACGGCTTTCTGGTACAGAATTTTCAGTCTGTAAAGCTGTCTTTATCCTCCTATCTCATTAGAGCAGGAAGTAGAATAGGACTGGAGGAAAAAACCCTACTGTTTCCTGGAAGCACCACCCTTAGTGTGATTCAACACACAGTACAACAGAATAGTTGACACTAGAAAGTGGAAATTAAGGAAGGGATAAAAGTCAGTAAGACTCCCACAAATTGAGATTTAAAACCCGCCCATCCTTCACTTTAAGGCTGGAGTCTACATAGGTTCCCAGCTCTCCCTTCCACACCTCTGTATTATCACACTAGTAGACAGTGATTCTGTTCTTCAGACCACATTCTCTCTCTGCCGCCTTTTATCATCATCATCATCATCATCATCATCATCATCATCATCATCATCAGAGATGGAATCTCACTATGTAGCCCAGGCTGGAGTGCAGTGGCTAGTCACAGGTGCAATCACTGTGCGCTACAGCTTTGAACTCTTGGGCTCAAGCAGTCCTTCCTCAACCTCCTGAGTAGCTGGGACTAGAGGTACCCAGTCCTGATATTTTCGTCTTTGTTTTTTAGCTTAAAATGTGTAGCTAATATTTAAATTGTTGAACAAAATAATTACTCCTTCATCTAAATACAGTATGAAAGGTTATCTATCACATCTCTTTTAATCCTTACCTGTATCTTTTACACTATTTTAAATGTGTTTGAAAGATTTAGTAGGTATGCAATAATGCTCAGACTAGTTCTTGTTCAAGCACCAATTATGGAACATTTAGCTGAAGATGTCCCAGCCTAAAAGACTTGGTTAAGGGCAAACAGATTCTGCTTTGATAGCAAAATGGCAAATGCCCAGTTATTTAAGGATATATGTGGTCTGCATTCCTTTAAGAGGTTTCTTTGACCTGGGTGTTATGGGTTGAATTGTGACTACTCCTCCACCTTACTTCATAGGTTGAAACTCTAATCCCCATTACCTTAGAATGTGACTGCATTTAGAGACAGGGTCTTTGAAGAAAGGATAGTGTTAAAATGAGGCCATTTAGAGGGGGCCCGAATCCAGTAAGACTGGTGTTCTTATAAGAAGAGGAAAAGACATATGAAATATATATATACACAGAGAAAAGGCCACCTGAGGACACAGCGAGAAGGTGGCCATCTCAAGGCAAGGAGAGAAGCCTCAGGAGAAACCAAGCCTGCTACACCTTGGTCTTGGACTCCCAGCCTCCAGAAATGTAGGAAAATAAACCCTGCGCTCCTTCTACTGTGTGTGCTGTGATTTGCACAGGTCGTATATCTTATTGATCATAGGCTCCATGAGGTGGGTCTTGACTTTCTCATGCCAAAGGAAACTCACTCTTGGTGCTATGGTCACCCACTGGTTTGCCTTTTTTTTGAGTTTTTCTAACTTATCTGGCCACAGCTGCTATGCTGCCAATTGTTACACATAAGCCAGGCTCATCTTAAATCTTATTGAACCTAACGGAACCCATCCAGAACTGGTATAAAAAGAATCCTCAGGCCACTCTAATCTGCAGACTAGTCTTCTCTCCCACCACAGTGATCAGACTGCTTTCACCTCATGATCAGGATGGTTTCCTAGCAGTCATCTCTAGAAAGAATGCATTCCTGAAACAACAGATTGTTTTCTCCAGGACATTTATTTTCCTCTTGCAATTTGCTCTGTCAATCTGTAAAACAAAATCAATCATAAAGTTCTCACCTCTGAGCATATCAGAAACTTAGAACTGGAGAACAATCCTCTATCAACTTAATATCTCATTTCTCCCCATTTCTCTTTCTCTCTCTGAACCCTCTCCAAAGCCATGATAAAGATTACATATAGCTACATTTTTGTCCTTTCTACTTATTTATGTAATTATATTTATTGTGCATCCACTAAGTGCCAAGCACTGTGATAAAACATTTAATTTTTTAAAGAAATTATTTTAGGCCAGGTACAGTGACCCACACCTATAATCTCAGCACTTTGGGAGGCCAAGGCGGAAGGACTGTTCAAGTCCAGGAGCTGAACACCAGCCTTGGCAACATAGTGAGATCTCACCTCTACAAAAAAAAAAAAAAAA